GTCCGACCGCGCAGGCGCCCCCCGGGCGGTCCGACCGCGCAGGCGCCGCTTCCGGGCCAACATGGCGGCCGCGTTGCTGCTGCTGCGCGCCCTCCGCCCGGGCCGGGCCGCGGGGTCCGGGCCACCGCGGGGCCCCTGCTCGGGCTGGAGCCTAGGCCTCTCCCTCGGGGCCGGAAGGAGGGGCCGGCACTTCGTCCACAGGCCTGCGATCCGGCTCCTGGGGGCCGGAGGCCACGCCAAGCAGGTACCCGCCGACCCCGGGCCGGGCCCCGCCCATTCCAAGCCCTGACCCGCGGCGGCCCCCTCTTCCAGCTCCCCACCCCTCGGCGGGCGCCTCCCATCCCCGGGCGGGCTCCGCCCATTCCTCCCCGACCGCGGCCCATCCCCGGGCCCCCCTCCCCGGCGGACCCCGAGCGAGAGCGGCGCGGCCGGGTGCGGGGACCCCCGTTCGTGCGGAGAGGCCGCCCGGGCAGCGCTGGAGGAGACTCCGCACGGGTCCCAGCCTGCATTTTTCCAGCCCTTTTTTGGTGTATTGATATTTTCTGCTTGTGTGGTTGCCTTCCTGGCGTCTTGGGTGCCCGGCCCAGTCGGTGGAGCATGCGACGAGATCCTGGGCTGTGAGTTCGAGCCCCACCCATGTGGGCTGTAGAGCTTACTGAAAAATAAAATCTTTAAAAATATATTATAAGGGCCGCCTCGGTGGCTCCTATCCCGGCGTCCTGGGACCGAGCCCCGAGTCGGGCTCCCTGCTCAGTGGGGGAGCCTGCTTCTCCCGGGTGGCTCTCGGTCGGTGAAGCATCTGCCATCGGCTCAGGTCGTGGTCCCGGGGTCCTGGGATCAAGTCCGGCGTCGGGCTCCTTGCTCAGTGGGGAGTCTGCTTCTCTCTCTCCCTCTCCACCTGCTTGTGTTCCCTCTCTCGCTCCCCCTTTCTCTCTGTCTCAAATAAGTAAATAAATTTTTTAAAAAAGTTTTATATTTTTAGAAGATTTTATTATTTTTTTAATTTATTTGAGAAAGAGAGCGAGATATCACAGAGGTAGAGAGAGAAGCTGACCTGCAGCTGAGCAGGGAGCTGGATGCGGGACTGATCCCAGGACCCCGGGATCATGACCTGATCCGAAGGCAGACGCTTCACCTACTGAGCCACCCAGGCGCTCCCCACAAAACAGTTTTAAAAATTGAACCCAGTAAGAGTTTCATGGAGAACTGTTTCACAATTGGCTCACGTGGATCAGACCTCATGAAGATGAGCTCCACACGGTACTTGGCCGTTGCTCCAAGGGGGGTGACGGTTTTGTGTGGGCGAAGTACCGTGTGGCTGTATCTTATCTGTATCCTGTAGCTTCACGTGTTAATGGCCCCGAACTGACTGAGCACTGTCCAGTGAAGGTGTGCTCCAGGCTCTGCTCAGGTTAACTGTCCAGAAAACAAAGACCCCAAATCCTGCTGCCATTTTGGCTGGTGTTTCCCTCCAGTCCTCTCTTAGGGGCTCAACACGCACGTTTTAGGTCATAATTTGTTCCTGTTGTTCTACTTTACCGTAACTTGAGGACCAGTGTGAATTACAATACTGGCCGTCCTCTGTATTTTTTGTTTCTTTTCAGAGTTTGCAGCTGTGCCTGCGAACCCCAACCGTTGAAGGGTTCAGTGGATTGTTGTTGAAACAGCATCTAGTCCAGAATCCAGTCAGACTCTGGAAACTCTTAGGTGTGTATCTTGTGGAACACAGGTAGTAGGCACATCCTGTGACATCTGTAAATAAATCGGATAAAGCTGCTGGTTTGACACTGACAGCGAAAGGAAATCACTCAGAGGACTTTGGCTTCTGTTTATTGTGAGCCCTTAGATGCTCTAAAGTGCAGTTTACGGACAGACAGACTGAATAAGGTCTGAACAGGCCACGTGTGCTTACCTGAGTCGTCCCCCCTCCCCCTTTTTAAAAAAATCTGATGTATGGCAGTAATTGGGCTGCTTACAAGGTTTTCCATATTCTCTAGCCAGCTGCAAGAACATCTAGTAGGGATCTTCAGAGTGGCTCTGTATGTTTTATATCCAGAAGGTAACTACAAACAGCCCACAAGTAATTTATGTTTAACAACAGTTTTATCATTCAGTGAGACACCATGACATCCTCAAGAGAGATCTTAGGTCAGAGGACTTAGGACCTCCAGGATTGACAATGTGATCTTACGTCCCCCTTCTATCCAGTTGGAACCGGGAAAAGTGGAATCTCCCAACTCCTAAAGGCCGTTATGTGGCTTGGTGCCCACATGTGGTCAGCGCGTGCTCACCTCCTGTGTGTGTTTCCCCACTTAAGTGTACACATGTGCCTGGTGGCACATGCCTCACTCCCCAGACAGCCTGATCCCGTGTCCAGGGGCCATCAAGGTAGTCTCACTTGTGGTTCTGTTAACCTTGTGAAGAAAGGCACAGCTGTCATGGTTGGTGAGACTCTCTTTCCTCTCCTTTTAAACATTAATTCAGTTAGACGGTGGACAAGACCCGTGCCTTTTGTGGGAGGAGTGTTGTGTCTTGGTGATGGTGGCCCCTGGGTTGCTGTTGATGCATGTGTCAGAGCCACCGTGTTGCTCATTAGTTTAAATTAGTTTAGAGTGACTGTGATTATTGAAGGGGTTGTTTTCCAACAAGCTCATGAGACTTCCTCAGTATACATTCGTAAGGAAGTTTTATTCCCTTGCATTGCTGATTTGAATTACAAAGATACTCTGTAAGTTGAAATAGTTATTATTCTATAATTAGCAGCTACTGTACTAAGAATGATCATCCCAAACTTCTAAATCTTACTAATGTAGGTTTCAGATGGCTTCTGTTTTGGTTTGGTTACTGAAGAACATACTCTTCTGAGCGCTTCTCTGTAGGGGCAGATCTTGTTAAACATGTTCCCTATTCCTTGCAGGTGGCAGTTACTATTTTAACACCTCCAGGATGAAGCAGAAGACGAAGGACAATGATAAATCTAAGGGGAGGACCCCTGAAGATGATGAAGGTATATCTATTTGACTTTCTTAAATAATGGCTGCTTTGGTTGTCTGCACATGTGTGTTCTGGTCTCAGCAACAGGAAACCTGTCTTAAAAGTAGCATGAGCCCAGGGGTGGCTGCGTGGCTCAGTCGGTTAAGTGTCCAGCTCTTGGTTTCGGCTCAGGTCATGATCTCAGGGTCGTGAGATCGAGCCCTGCATCGGGCTCCACACTCACCGGGGAGTCTACTTGAGATTCTCTCTCCCTCTGTGCCCCCACTCTCTCAAATTAAATAAATAAGTCTTTAAAAAAAAAAAAGAAAGAAAAGTTAAAAGCAAACGTAGGGTGCACCTAGGCCCCTGTGTCTCCCTTACTGTGAGCACACCTACCCCCAGTCTTTAATGTGATTACTGGATCTTTTCCTTGCCTGTCCTTTAGAGGTGCTTCCATCAGCTCGTGGGTGCCTTGTCCTGTCCAGACATCTGAAGGCAGGCAGAATTAGAGTCCTCTGCGTGCAAAGGGTGAACCTCCGATCTGCCTTCAACTCAAGTGTTCTGGGGTGGGGAGGAAGGCACTTGGTCGGACCCACCCCACACAGGCTCCTGATGATGTGTAGACTTGAGAAGCAGCCCCCAGAGGAGAGGTTGGTATGGTGCGTGGCCTCAAGGAAGAAGTGAGACACATCGCTGTCCTGTGTGAGTGACCACTGTGTACTCCAGTTCACAACAACCTCACTTGCAAATCTTGAGTCTCATCTGTAGAATTAGGACTCTGATCAGGCAAAGGGTGAGGGCAATAAAAAGGTCAGTTTAAACTGAATTGACTCTAAGGTAAAAGCTGGCTCCTTGGAGCTAATGAGAATGGAAATTGCTAACCCACTGCAACAACTGGAGTGTGCTGAGCACTGTACTAAGTGATTCATATGTCTTCTCCATTAATTCTGTCCTCATAATTACCCTGTTACGGTCCCCTGTCCTGTGAGGAGTCTCCAGAAGGGCACACAGGTGGAGAGATGGTTGTCTTGCCAAGGAACTGCCTTGAACTTAGGTGCTGATTTTGTTGTCCTTTACTTATTTTTATTTATTATTTATTTATTTATTTGAGAGAGAGCATGACCATGGGGGGGCGGGGCTGGGGGAGGAGGGGCAGGGGGAGAGGGAAAAGCAGACTCCACGCTCATCAGGGAGCCTGACAATGTGGGACTCGGTCCCAGGACCCCAGGATCATGACCCTGAGCCAGAGGCAGACACTTAACCAACGGAGCCACCCAGGTGCCCCTATTTTTTATTATTATTTTTAAAGTAATCTTTCTGCCCAATGTGGGGCTCGAACTCACAACCCTGAGAGTTGCACACTCCACCGACTGATCCAGCCAGGTGCCCCCAGCTTCAGGCTCTTTTGGAATAGGTCTTAACTCCTGGAAACCAGTA